GACTGAATCTGCAATAGGTAAGCAGCTTGGTTTGAAGAAATCAACTGTGGGAGCAATTATTAGGAAATGGAAGACATACAAGATCACTGATAATCTCCCTCGATCTGGGACTCCATGCAAGATCTCACCCCGTGGGGTCAAAATGATCACAAGAACGGTGAGCAAAAATCCCAGAACCAAACAGGGGGACCTAGTGAATGACCTGCAGAGAGCTGGGACCAAAGTAACAAAGCCTACCATCAGTAACACACTACGCCCCAGGGACTCAAATCCTGCAGTGCAAGACGTGTCCCCCTGCTTAAGCCAGTACATGTCCAGGCCCGTCTGAAGTTTGCTAGAGTGCATTTGGATGATCCAGAAGAGGATTGGGAGAATGTCATATGGTCAGATGAAACCAAAATATAACTTTTTGGTAAAAACTCAACTTGTCGTGTTTGGAGGACAAAGAATGCTGAGTTGCATCCAAAGAACACCATACCTACTGTGAAGCATGGGGGTGGAAACATCATGCTTTGGGGCTGTTTTTCTGCAAAGGGACCAGGACGACTGATCCGTGTAAAGGAAAGAATGAATGGGGCCATGTATCATGAGATTGAGTGAAAACCTCCTTCCATCAGCAAGGGCATTGAAGATGAAACGTGGCTGGGTCTTTCAGCATGACAATGATCCCAAACACACCGCCCGGGCAACGAAGGAGTGGCTTCGTAAGAAGCATTTCAAGGTCCTGGAGTGGCCTAGCCAGTCTCCAGATCTCAACCCCATAGAAAATCTTTGGAGGGAGTTGAAAGTCCGTGTTGCCCAGCGACAGCCCCAAAACATCACTGCTCTAGAGGAGATCTGCATGGAGGAATGGGCCAAAATACCAGCAACAGTGTGTGAAAACCTTGTGAAGACTTACAGAAAACATTTGACCTGTGTCATTGCCAACAAAGGGTATATAACAAAGTATTGAGAAACTTTTGTTATTGACCAAATACTTATTTTCCACCATCATTTGCAAATAAATTCATTAAAAATCCTACAATGTGATTTTCTGGAATTTTTTTTCTCATTTTGTCTGTCATAGTTGACGTGTACCTATGATGAAAATTACAGGCCTCTCATCAATTGGTGGCTGACTAAATACTTTTTTCCCCACTGTATTTGTTCTTCTCATATAGATACTTGCTCCATATTTTTCTTCTTCAATCTGTTGTTTAATGTTGCTCTTGTTCTTTCAGGACTCCTCTCAAGGGAACTCGATCTTTCAAATCAACATGATTAAGTACATCAAAGAGAAATACCCACCGCTTCAGGTCATTGGAGGCAATGGTGAGTGTTGGGGCACACACACAGAAATGCTCCATTCTCAGGGTTACCCTCAGTATGAAAAAAAAAAAAAAAAAAAAAAAAGTATGCACTCACTAACTGTAAGTCGCTCTGGATAAGAGCGTCTGCTAAATGACTAAAATTTTAACAAAAAATAACGGTTGCACCATGCACCACCCTTGACATTGTTGGTCTGTCTCCCCCTGTCTGTCTCAGTGGTAACTGCAGCCCAGGCCAAGAACCTGATCGATGCAGGGGTGGACGGCCTGCGCGTGGGCATGGGCAGTGACTCCATCTGCATCACACAGGAAGGTAAGTCGCACCAATGGCAGGCTTCCTAGCTCCCCTCCCTCCCACCCACCCACCCACCCACCCACAGCTCTAACCCAATCGGGAGCCTCCAATCTGAACACCTTCCCACTAATGACTGAAATCGCTCTTTAGCCAAGTGTAGAAGTCTGTACAAAGGGTCCCATCCGTAAGTGTTCGTCCTAGTCTCTCCACTGGCTGTAGGGAATGCTGAATGGTTTTGCAGAATCAAATTGTGCTGCCATGCTATATTCTAATACAGGCAATTTAACCGAATAAGAGCACCTGCTGAATGAATGCAGCATATGCCACATCCTCAAACCTCAGTCAAACCACTTCAGAGCAAAACTTTGAAAACGGACAAACAATGGACTTTCTCAAGGGGCAGGTCCTCAGAAATCAGGCACAACTTTCTTCTCGTTCATCGTTCCTACCCTCTATTTTCTGTTTCTCTCCGTCTCTTCCTCCCTTTCCCTCCCCTTCTCTCTCCATCATGCTATTCTCGCTCCATCATGCTATTCTCGCTCCATCATGCTATTCTCTCTCCATCATGCTATTCTCGCTCCATCATGCTATTCTCGCTCCATCATGCTAGTCTCGCTCCATCATGCTAGTCTCGCTCCATCATGCTAGTCTCGCTCCATCATGCTAGTCTCGCTCCATCATGCTATTCTCTCTCCATCATGCTATTCTCTCTCCATCATGCTATTCTCTCTCCATCATGCTATTCTCTCTCCATCATGCTATTCTCTCTCCATCATGCTATTCTCTCTCCATCATGCTATTCTCTCTCCATCATCCTATTCTCTCTCCATCATGCTATTCTCTCTCCATCTTTCATGATCTGTTTTGGGTTTCTTGTTTTCTATCTATCTATCTCTTCCTTTTTTCCTCTCTGCAACAGTCTGTTTCTTTCTTTTTGTATCCCTCTCTTTCTCATCTCCTTCATTTCCTGTTTGGTTGTGTGGACCTCTCCTCTCTTGGTTTCACACCGCCTGTACTGTATGTGTCTCTCTAGCGCCTCTCAGTGTTCCTCCTGGTATAAAGCTCCACAGCCCCAAAACCCCAACTACTGTTACGGGATACTGCAGTAAGTCCCCCACCCCCCTGCGCAGGGCTCTCTCTCATTGGCTCTACTATCACACTGTGCCCGCCCACCCCCCTTCACGGCCTGTCTGCATTGGTTGCTAACAGCTCTGCATCAGTAGAAGTAGTAGTCAAGCTGGCCTTGGGTTTTGGATGCTTGTCCTTTTGACCTTGACTAACCTGTTAGTCACAGTGTGTGACATCACACCTACCTTGTCTCTACATGCCCTCATCATTACGACACATGTGCTACGTTTGGATGCATATGATGAAGTATGTTTTAGTAGTGGACTCGAGATGCATCCTTCATTGCAGTGCACAGGCATGCGATGGACAGTCTCAGATATGATGGTGTCTGTCAGTTAGGCCATTCACCTTCCCTCATCTGAAACTAATTGTACCTGAACTTCTTTAGCAATATCAATTGGCCTACTACAGATGAAAGATAGTTTCATCATTCTGCATCTGTCAATTCACTGTAAAAGGTCAGTGTCCCTGTTAAGAAAAAATAAACACACCCCCCATGAATTGGATTTAACCGCATTTACCCTGTTGGCTGTACACCGACCTATGGCCAGGATTTCATATAGGATTGGGGAGGGAGCCCTTAGCTCCGGATTAGACTGGCTGTTGTAACACATTCATTAATTTACTTACGTCATTGTTTCTAACACCTCATTTACATATGTCATTGACTTAACATAAACCCTGACCTGTCACCTATGATTTACTATGTATTCGATCATAATAATATCATTATTTTAAGAGAGGAAAAATATGCATGTCTTCAAAAACTTTCTGGAAGTGCTGGTCTGCATATGAGTATTTTTATGTGATTATTTAGTATATTGAATTCTTGTCACAGTTAGACTTTGATCCAAAGCTCATGAATATGCATACCAATCACAGAAAAAGAAGTGGGCAAGCTAAAATAATATTTTCCACTTTATCAACTTCCTTCTTTGATGTTGGCTTCTGACATTCTAATGAACTCATTTTAGAGTAAGAGTTCATAAAAAATGATCTGAAAACCTGATGGCTTACAACACGATTCATTGAAACTGTTACACAACTCGTTTAGGAGGAAATTATGGCAATCGTCTACTTCTCAAATTTAGTGTTGATGGACAAAGCCTGCAAAAAAAGCCTGAATATGAAACAGACTCCACTCAAACACTTTCTAAGAATTACTCGGTTTCAGTTTTCTCTTTTCATTTTATGAATGTTATTTTCCCAAATAAACATCACATTTGTATAATGTAATATGATGTGCAGTTGGTCTATGTTTGCAAATGGGAAATCCGATCATACTAAATGCCACAAGGTTTTTCATGCCCCATCATCTTGCTATGTAATCAGTTTGATAATGATTTGATTTATCAGGTAAACGCATGATAAAATACCATTCATTATAATATAATCCACTCAAATAAGCCAAAACCATGTTTAATCTACAGCATATCAACAAAAATATGAATTAATTGTCAAATAATACTGATGAATTAACTTTATAAACCAGGAAATTACAACATCAAATGCATGCAAGGACAGACTGTCTGCTGTGTGTGAGAATGCCTAGTCTGTCTGTCTCTGATAGGTGGGCTACAGCAGGGTTTCCCAAAGGGCCCCCACCTCTGGGTGCACGTTTTGGCTTTATGCCCTAGCACTACACAGCTGATTGAAATAACCAACTCATCATCAAGTTTTGATGATTTTAATCAGCTGTGTAATGCTAGGGCAAAAACCAAAACGTGCACCCAGGTGGGGCCCCAGGACCGAGTTTGGGAAACCCTGGGCTAAATGTGCAGGCTTGGCTAGATATTCCCCACAATGACCTGTCAGCCTCAATTGAAGTAAGTCTGCGTCTACACAGGCAGCCCAATTCTGATCTTTTTTCACTAATTGGTCTTTTGACCAATCAGCTCTGAAAAATATCTGATGTGAAAAGATGTGATGTGATTGGTCAAAAAAACAATCAGTGGAAAAAAGATCAGAATTGGGCTGCCCCCCCCCCCCCTGATTTAGACCTGGTATTCAACTCTTACCCTACAAGGTCCAGAGCTTGCTGGTTTTCTGTTCTACCTGATAATTAATTGCACCCACCTGGTGTCCCAGGTCTAAATCAGTCCCTGGTTAAAGGGGAACAATGAAAACAAGCAGTGGAACTGGCTTCGAGGTCCAGAGTTGAGTTTGAGGGGTCTAAAGTGCACACTCAGAGAAAGGCTTTTACAAAAAACACACCACAAGCATACACGCATACCATTAGCCGTTACCATCCCCCCTATGTCTCTCCAGTGATGATGGGCTCTCTCCTGGCTGCCACCAGCGAGGCTCCAGGTGAATACTTCTTCTCTGATGGCATCAGGCTGAAGAAGTACAGAGGCATGGGCTCACTGGATGCCATGGACAAGAACCTGGGCTCCCAGACCAGATACTTCAGGTACTGAGGCGCAGTAATACTAATATAATAATTTTCCAATCGTTTCGTTCTGAACAGAACCATAATTGTTTTCATTCCGACTAGCAAAATATAGTTCTGAACCGGTTCGAACCAAAAAAAAAGTCACAGTTTATGAAGCGATGGGTTGTTATGACATGCATTATCTGAATTAGGCCCACAGAATTATACCTACGGAGGAGCGGCAACTATGAAGGAACTTTGAATGTCTTTGAACTTCAGAGAGTTGGCTTAACAAACGTTGGACCAGAGCTAGCCCTTGATCATGACTCTCAGTTCCATTGCATTACATATAATGCCGCCTAGAGTTTGGGAGCTAGACCAGAGCTAGCTAGCGTGTGCAGAGCGGCACCAGAATAAAAACAAAGTGATAACTTTAGTATCCTTAACTAGCATTGAAAAAGTTAATCCATTATTCTAAGAAAAAATGTCTTCCCCTAATAGCTACAGTAGACTATGCTTCGGAGGGAGGAGGAGGAGGGGCAGGTAGCTTACACACACACACAGGCAAATATTTTCAGCTGGCAGGCAGGCTGACACTGGAATTAGTTTGAGTGACAAAGTGAGGGTTTTTGCATAGGCGCTTTGTTGCGTTTTTTTTGTGGGAACGGAAAAAAATGCCCAGAACGTAAAATAACGGTTCCCATGCTTTTAAAATAACGGTTCAGTTCCGGAACAGTATGACTTTCGTTCTCGGTTCTGTTCCTCTGAAAATGTTTGTTATTTTACGGTTTTTGGTTCTGTTCCCTGAACCGGTTCCAACCTGATACTAATACAGTAACACACATTTATTATCTCCAGGGTTGTTGTATTCATTAGGCACAAAATGAAATAAAACAGACAAAGGCACTACCTGAAAGCTTGTTTTCGTTTCCCGTTGCAAAACGTTTTGCTACGGTGTGCACTAATCAATTAATACGACCCAGGGGCAACTGGCTTTGCAGCAGGCAGTCAATCAAAAGACAAACAACATATATACAAAAGTGCCTTCAGAAAGTATTCACACCCCTTGACTTGAGATTTTTTTTGTCACTGGCCTACACACAATACCCCATAATGTCAAAGTGGAATTTTCCCCCAGAAATGTTTACAAATTAATACAAATTTTAAAACTGAAATGTCTTGATTCAATAAGTATTCAACCTCTTTGTTATGGCAAGCCTAAGTAAGTTCAGGAGTAAAAATGTGCTTAACAAGTCACATAAGTTGCATGGACTCACTATGCAATGATAGTGTTTAACATTATTTTTGAATGACTACCTCATCTCTGTACCCCACACACAATTATCTGTAAGGTCCCTCAGTTGAGCAGTGAATTTCAAACACAGATTCAATCATAAAGACCAGGGAAGTTTTCCAATGCCTCGCAAAGAAAGGCACCTATTGGTGGATGAAAAAAACAAAAGCAGACATTGAATATCCCTTTGAGCATGGTGAAGTTATTAATTACACTTTGGATGGTGTATCAATATACCCAGTCACTACAAAGATACATGCGTCCTTCCTAACTCAGTTGCCGGAGAGGAACCTCTCAGGGATTTCACCATGAGCCAATGGTGACTTTACATTTACATTTTAGTCATTTAGCAGACGCAATTATCCAGAGCGACTTAGTTAGTGAGTGCATACATTTTCATTCTGGCCCCCCGTGGGAATCGAACACACAACCCTGACGTTGCAAACGCCATGCTCTACCAACTGAGCAACACGGGACTCTAACTTTAAACAGTTAGAGTTTAATGGCTGTGATAGGAGAAAACTGAGGACGGATCAACAACATTGTAGTTACTCCACAATACTAACCTAACTGACAGAGTGAAAAGAAGGAAGCCTGTACAGAATAAAAATATTCCAAAACATGCATCCTGTTTACAACAAGGCACTAAAGTAATACTGCAAGAAATGTGGCAAAGCAATTAACTTTTTGTCCTGAATACAAAGTGTTATGTTCGGGGCAAATCCAATACAACACATTACTGAGTACCACTCTCCATGTTTTCAAGCATAGTGGTGGCTGCATCATGTTATGGGTATGCTTGTAATCGTTAAGGACAGGGGAATTTTTTGGGAGAAAAAACAAACGTAATGGAGCTAAGCACAGGCAAAATCCTAGAGGAAAACCTGGTTCAGTCTGCTTTCCACCAGACACTGGGAGATGAATTCACCTTTCAGTAGGAGAATAACCTAAAACACAAGGCTAAATCTACACTGGAGTTGTTACCAAGAAGACAGAATGTTCTGGAGTGGCCTAGTTACAGTTTTGACTTAAATTTACTTGAAAATCTATGACAAGACCTGAAAATGGTTGTCTAGCAATGATCAACAACCAACTTGAAGAACTTTGAAAAGAAAAATGGGAAAATGTTGCACAATCCAGGTGTGTAAAGCTCTTAGAGACTTACCCAGAAAGACTGACGGTTGTAATCATTACCAAAGGTGCTTCTACAAAGTATTGACTTTGGCTGTGAATACTTATGTAAATGAGATATTTCTGTATTTTATTTTCAATACATTTGTCATTATGGGATATTGTATGTATTGTGTGAGATGTTGTATTTTATTTTATTCAGGCTGTAACACAACAAAATGTGGAATAAGTCAAGGGGTATGAATACTTTCTGAAGGCACTGTAGCTTAACCCTCTCCTCCTCCTCCTCTCCAGTGAGTGTGACAAGATCAAGGTGGCCCAGGGTGTATCGGGGGCGGTCCAGGACAAAGGCTCCATCCATAAGTTTATTCCCTACCTGCTGGCTGGGATCCAGCACTCCTGTCAAGACATCGGATCCAAGAGCCTCACCCAGCTCAGGTACACACACACCGACACACACACACATTTGAATGTACAGTACCAGTCAAAAGTTTGGACACACCTACTCATTCAAGGTTTTTTTTTTTTTTTTTACTGTTTTCTACTTTGTAGAATAATAGTGAAGACATCAAAACTATGAAATAACACATATGGAATCATGTAGTAACCAAAGAAGTGTTAAACAAATCAAAATATATTTTATATTTGAGATTCTTCAAAGTAGCCACCCTTTGCCGACAGCTTTGAACACTCTTGGCATTCCCTTCATGAGGTAGTCACCTCTATACCAGGCGGTGTCAGAGGAAGGCCCAAACAATTGTCAAAGACTCCAGCCACCTTAGTCATATACTGTTCTCTCTGCTACCGCACGGCAAGCGGTACTGGAGCGCCAAGTCTAGGTCCAAAAGGCTTCTTAACAGCTAATCATGGCTACCCAGACTATTTGCATTGCCCCCCCCCCCCCCCCCCCCCCCCCCCCCTTTTACGCTGCTGCTACTCTGTTTATTATCTATGCATAGTCACTTTAACTCTACCCACATGTACATATTACCTCAATTACCTTGACTAAATGGTGCACCCGCACGTTGACTCTGTAGCGGTACCCCCTGTATATAGCCTCCCTACTGTTATTCTATTTAACTGCTAATTTTACTTATCCAGTTTTTTCTTAAAACTGCATTGTTGGTTAAGGGCTTGTAAGTAAGCATTTCACTGTAAGGTCTAAACCAGTTGTATTCAGCGCATGTGGCAAATACAATTTGATTTGAATGCATTTCAATTAACAGGTGTGCCTTGTTAAAAGTTAATTTGTGGAATTTCTTTCCTTCTTAATGCGTTTGAGCCAATCAGTTGTGTTGTGACAAGGTAGTGGTATACAGAATATAGCCCTATTTGGTAAAATACCAAGTCCATATTATGGCAAGAACAGCTCAAATAAGCAAAGAGAAATGACAGTCCATTACTTTAAGACGTGAAGGTCAGCCAATCCGGAAAATGTCAAGAACTTTGAAAGTTCCTTCAAGTGCAGTCGCAAAAACCATCAAGCGCTATGATGAAACTGGCTCTCATGAGGACTGCGACAGGAAAGGAAGACCCAGAGTTACCTCTGCTGCAGAGGATAATTTCATTAGAGTTAACTGCACCTCAGATTGCAGCCCAAATAAATGCTTCACAGAGTTCAAGTAACAGACACATCTCAACATCAACTGGTCAGAGGAGACTGTGTGAATTAGGCCTTCATGGTTGAATTGATGCAAAGAAACCACTACTAAAGGACACCAATAATAAGAAGAGACTTTCTTGGGCCAAGAAACACGAGCAATGGACATTGTACCGGTGGAAATTTGTCCTTTGGTCTGGAGTCCAAATTGGAGATCTTTGGTTACAACCGCCGTGGCTTTGTGAGACGCGGTGTGGGTGAACGGATGATCTCTGCATGTGTATTTCCCACCTTAAAGCATGGAGGAGGAGTTGTTATGGTGTGGGGGTGCTTTGCTGGTGACACTGTCTGTGATTTATTTAGAATTCAAGGCACACTTAACCAGCATGGCCACCACAGCATTCTGCAGTGATACGCCATCCCATCTGGTTTGGGCTTAGTGGGACTATAATTTGTTTTTCAACAGGACAATGACCCAACACACCTCCAGGCTGTGTAAGGGCTATTTTACCAAGAATGAGCGTGATGGAGTGCTGCATCAGATAACCTGGCCTCCACAATCTCCCGACCTCAATCCAATTGAGATGGTTTGGGATGAGTCGGACCGCAGAGTGAAGGAAAAGCAGCCAACAAGTTCTCAGCATATGTGGGAACTCCTTCAAGACTGTTGGAAAAGCATTCCAGGTGAAGCTGGTTGAGAGAATGCAAAGAGTGTGCAAAGCTATGTGGCTATTTGAAGAATCTCAAATATAAAATATATTTTCATTTGTTTAACACTTTTTTGGTTACTACATGATTCCATATGTGTTATTTCATAGTTTTGAGGTCTTCACTATTATTCTACAATGTAGAAAATAGTAAAAATAAAGAAAAACCCTTGAATGAGTAGGTGTGGCCAAACTTTTGACTGGTACTGTATATCAAAGTGAGCCTACTTTGATAACGCCATGTGTGTGAGCTCGGGGCTCCGTGTAACACTATTTGTCTTCCCCCTGCAGAGCCATGATGTATTCTGGAGATCTGAAGTTTGAGAAGAGGACAACATCGGCCCAGATGGAGGGAGGAGTCCACAGCCTGCACAGGTACTTACTGATGTGATCTAGCTAGGCAGTGTTGGCTAGCCCATAGTGCAATGCTGTCACAGAGGCTAACATTACAATATACACTGCTCAAAAAAATAAAGGGAACACTTAAACAACACAATGTAACTCCAAGTCAATCACACTTCTGTGAAATCAAACTGTCCACTTAGGAAGCAACACTGATTGACAATACATTTCACATGCTGTTGTGCAAATGGAATAGACAACAGGTGGAAATTATAGGCAATTAGCAAGACACCCCCAATAAAGAAGTGGTTCTGCAGGTGGTGACCACAGACCACTTCTCAGTTCCTATGCTTCCTGGCTGATGTTTTGGTCACTTTTGAATGCTGGCGGTGCTTTCACTCTAGTGGTAGCATGAGACGGAGTCTACAACCCACACAAGTGGCTCAGGTAGTGCAGCTCGTCCAGGATGGCACATCAATGCGAGCTGTGGCAAGAAGGTTTGCTGTGTCTGTCAGCGTAGTGTCCAGAGCATGGAGGCGCTACCAGGAGACAGGCCAGTACATCAGGAGACGTGGAGGAGGCCGTAGGAGGGCAACAACCCAGCAGCAGGACCGCTACTTCCGCCTTTGTGCAAGGAGGAGCAGGAGGAGCACTGCCAGAGCCCTGCAAAATGACCTCCAGCAGGCCACAAATGTGCATGTGTCTGCTCAAACGGTCAGAAACAGACTCCATGAGGGTGGTATGAGGGCCCGACGTCCACAGGTGGGGGTTGTGCTTACAGCCCAACACCGTGCAGGACGTTTGGCATTTGCCAGAGAACACCAAGATTGGCTAATTCGCCACTGGCGCCCTGTGCTCTTCACAGATGAAAGCAGGTTCACACTGTGCACGTGACAGACGTGACAGAGTCTGGAGACGCCGTGGAGAACGTTCTGCTGCCTGCAACATCCTCCAGCATGACCGGTTTGGCGGTGGGTCAGTCATGGTGTGGGGTGGCATTTCTTTGGGGGGCCGCACAGCCCTCCATGTGCTCGCCAGAGGTAGCCTGACTGCCATTAGGTAACGAGATGAGATCCTCAGACCCCTTGTGAGACCATATGCTGGTGCGGTTGGCCCTGGGTTCCTCCTAATGCAAGACAATGCTAGACCTCATGTGGCTGGAGTGTGTCAGCAGTTCCTGCAAGAGGAAGGCATTGATGCTATGGACTGGCCCGCCCGTTCCCCAGACCTGAATCCAATTGAGCACATCTGGGACATCATGTCTCGCTCCATTTTTGTGTGATGTTGTTGTCAGCACATTCAACTATGTAAATAAAAAAGTATTTAATAAGATTATTTCATTCATTCAGATCTAGGATGTGTTGTTTAAGTGTTCCCTTTATTTTTTTGAGCAGTGTATAATCTGCTTGGTGAGAGGATTTTCTGAACATCTCAGTTCCACATACCACATGCAAGCCCCTAGATTTAGAATGGTTCCCCTTTCAAAACGAATCTCACTTCAACCTGCCTGTAGGTCTCTACAGTATCTGATCTTGGCATGATGCAACATGTTGGTCATTTGTTATGTGATCCATTCATCTTGTAAATCTCTCTCTCTCTCTCTCTCTCTCTCAGTTATGAGAAGCGCTTGTTCTAAGGGAGAGAACAACAGTAATGGGCTGCAGACTTGTGTTCCTCAAGCATACGCACATGCAAGCACAAACAACTACTTGCCATCCCCCTTACACACACACACACAGGGTGGCAGGAAAGCCTAGCGGTTAGAGCGCTGGGCCAGTAACTGAAAAAGTCGCTAGTTCGAATCCCCGAGCCGACAAGGTGCCCTTGAGGAAGGCACTTAACCCTAATTGCTCCAGGGTCGCCGTTGATAATTGCAGACCCTGGCCGTGACCCCACTCTCCGAGTGTCTCAGGGAGAGTTGGGGTATGCAAAAAAACAAAATGTTTCCAATTCACACATGCGTATTAATACACACTTGTACATGTGTGAAATAGGAAAAATATATGCACCCACAAAATTATTATTACACACTCACACACAAGTGCTGAGCGATTAGTGCTTTTTGAGGTAGTTTCGGTTCGATTATGAACAAATAATCAGTTTTGATAATTTTTTAAAGATAAAATGCATTATGAAATAATGACATTAAAATGATTTTATAGATCCTTTATGGAAATTCCAAAGCCAAAAATAGTGAACATTCAATTGCCAAAAAATTTACAATATTCCATTGTCTCTTTCAGGTCTACATTGGGTGGACATCGATAGAAAAATAAGAAATTACTATGAAACAGAGGTGGGACAAAGTCATTGTTATGCAAGTCACAAGTAAGTCTCAAGTCTTTGCCCTCGAGTCCCGAGTCAAGTCGAGTCAAAGATGAGGCAAGTCCCAAGTCGAGTCAAAAGTCAAAGCCATCAAGTCTCAAGTCGAGTCCAAAGTCCTACCATTTTAGTTTCGAGTCATTTCAAGTCCTCTTACCACAGAAATAAAATGTATACAAATCATGTATGTCTGTAAGATTTGTATTTATTTAAACCTTTTTATACAATAACATTAATCAAATACAGCAAAAAACATAACATTTAATTTTCACAAAAAAAATGCTTGTATTTGAACAGCATATTGCACTAGAACAATGCAGAGAGAGAGAGAGAGAGAGAGAGAGAGAGAGAGAGAAAATGGTTTACGGGGAAGGACAAACACCAAAGCTCTGGAAGTAAAAACAGTGTGGGAACCTGCACTGCAAATGAACAGATCTTACTCCATGTGAAACTCCTACCACAGGAGAGAGAGAGCTGTGTGGACAGGTGATGAGCAGAGAGTGAGTGTGTGTGCGCGCATGCGTGCTGTGGACAGGTGGAGGGAGGCCCCTATACTGCATTGCATTTGCAAAAGATCAAATTGGCCAAAAGTCTGTCAGTCATTTGTGCACGATGGGGACGCAGAATGATGCCACCATGGCTGAAAACTCGCTCCACTGGAGCACTAGAAGCAGGCACTGCCAAGACTCGGATGGCTACTTGAAAGAGTGAAGGAAGAGTCTTACTGTTCAGTGCCCAGAACAAAAGGGCATTCTGTCCTTCTGCCATGTCAATGTAGTGACTTAGCTGTACTGCTGGTGGGGTCCCAACATCCCTTTTCTGCCTCTTATGGTATGCAGCAAACAGCCCTTCTCCTTCCATGTCCTCTAGTTCTTCTTCAGCAGGCACCGGCACAGGCTGCTCTGTCTCTGCAGCATCTTGCAGGATCAATTCTAAAAATAAAAATAAAAACGTGTCACAACAGCAGAAACAAAAGAGCCCTTATTTCTGATGTTGATGATACTGTTCAAGACTGAAATTTTTTATTATTGTTAAAGTCAGATTAATATCACATTAGATCCTATATCAGATTAAGATCAAATTATTGTACGTTGCATTTAAGTTGCATTGCAAGTCAATAATATTTACCTTTAACTCGTTGTGCCACCTCTGCCTTGATGTCACGGTTGACCAGCACATGGGGCTCAATCCACAGCAGACAAAAGGCTGGATCCAAGGCAGCTGCTTTCAGGTAGACTGTGTCTGAAAAGGGGGCAGTGATCCCTTCTTGAGACTGGGCCATTTTTACATTAATGAAGATCCCAAGAAATCTTTTTTTCAGGGATGCCTGCAGACCTCTGACCAGGCCACTCAGGAAACGAACTTGAGGCTTCAGCTTCTCAAGATGGTGATTGAGGGACAAGATGGATGGAACAACTGCACTGATTGTAATGACTTTCTCCCCCTGTGTCAAATCAGTTGCTTCTCCGAACGGTTTTTAAGATGTCCACCAACTCCTTCAGCAGATTCCACTCTCGTGGTGTGAATGACAGTTCTTTATGCCCGGCCTTCTCAAGAACTGCGCAGAGCTTTTGCTGATCACAATGAAGTACTGCTTTTACCTGCCGCAGTGTGGAATTCCACCTCGTGCTCACTGCAGCAGGGATGCCTCTGTGCTCCCCAAATTCACCATCGAAGATGTCTTTAAACGTTGTGCTTGTGTGGAGCAGGGAGCTAAGTTTTGATAACTTGGAGAGAGAAGGACATGCCGCTTTTGTTTCTTTCAAACCGTCTCCCACAACCAGCTGCAATGTGTGTGCAAAACACTGCAGGCGCTGTTTCTTTGCCATAGCAGCATCGACGGTTTGCTGGTCTTCTTGGGTTAAGTCATGCCATAGCTCAGGATCATCAAGATTATCTCCAGCATCTTCATCTTCCTCCTGTTCGCTGGGGAAGCAGACTGTAAATGCCTTGCGCATGTTAGCAGCATTGTCACTAATTATATAGTCCAATTTAGCTTTGATGTTGTATTCATCACATATTGCCTCAAATTGGTCACAGATTCGCTCTGCTGTGTGAGAGCCTTTGAAGCGGTTGCAGGCCAAGAGATTAGTCTTTAGCTGTACCCTCTCTGCATCTCGCTCCATCCAGTGCACAGTGACACCAAGGAATCCCCTCATCTTTCGATCAGACCAAATGTCCACAGTGACTGAAACATGGTCAGTGTTGCTCAATTGAGTTTTTAACTTTGACCGTCTCTCCTCAGCAAGGCTCTCTGTTTTTGTGGTCAGCGTTCGGCGACATACTGGGGTATACTTGCTGTCCAGCACAGCCAGAAAGTGACGAAAGCTCTTATTTTCCACAATAGACAGAGGGAAATTGCAATCAATAATCAAGTCAGACAGTATCGCATTGGAGATGGCCTTCTGCTGTGGGTGGGTCAGGCTGTAACGCTCTACACGAGTGTCAAGGAATTGTGAGATTGAAGGCTGTTGTGGTTCATCTACGATGATTTTGTTCATCTGGTATTCTTCATACCTGTAACAGAGAAGAATATGAAACAGATGTCAGAAAATCCTTTACAGCCACACATGTTGTATTTGAAACTACTCTTTACTCATATCAATGTTGTTGTGTTAATATTCATTGCCTATTGTACACTACGGTTTACGATAATACATTTCAGTGTCAGTGTATGCAATATTAAGAATATTTTCACTGCTTCAAAATTCATAAGAAAGCCCTTTCCCTCAAGAAACTGAAGTCATATGCTTTATAGCAGTGGTTTTCAAAGTGGGGACGGGGACCCTTGGGTGCCGCGAGGGGGTTCTAGGGGGGCCATGGCAAGTTGGCATGAAAAGTATAGAAAAACAAAATAATTGAATAAATTAAATAACTAAAGTAAACCAAATTAAACCAAAAATAAGCTAAACAATATTCCCATTAGTTAAGAACTGCACTATAATAATCTATTGCATCTCTGAACATTACTACTATAATCGTTATTATTTTATTATATACTGTATATATCCCAGTGGTGCGCTGCCTCACAGACCTACTGTAGACTACGGTAGCACTCTGTCCATGCGCTGTCTGCTGTTTGGGCATGATATGAAAAGGGAAGGCTAATGGTGGATCTACTGTGACTGTGTTATCATTTTCCTCTTTACAATGTATACGTCTTACTATGTTTCCTGTTGTACTTGGATGGGTTTAGGGATGCACCAACTACATCCGAGTTGTGAAAGGGGGTGCATTCATTGTTTAATTGTGATATTTTGTCTTCAGCGACAGTTCAGCTTAGTTGTGATTAACCAAAATTACATAAACGACCTCAATGAGGCAGCACACCAGCAACTCTGAAACTGAATTCTAAAACGCTTAACGTGAAAAACGCTTAACGTTGCTTAATGCTTAATATACTAAGACAGTAATATTATAAGACCAAACTCTGCAAATATCATATTAATAAAGCATACTATGTACAAAACATCAGATGAGCCCAGAATACATAGTAGCCTACATAAGACATGTTAAGCCTTTTCTTATAATGGTTTTCTATGGGAGGAAAACACTTAACGTGTTGTTAAACGTGTTTGCGTTCATATTCTGGCCTCATCTGATGTTTTGTACATTTAGTATACTTTATTAATATGATATTTATAGTTTGGTCTTTTAATATTACTGTCTCAGTATATTAAGACACGTTAAGCCTTTTCTTATAATAGTTTTCTATGGGAGGAAAACGCAACGTGTTATTAAACGTGTTTGCGTTCATATTCTGGGCTCATCTGATGTTTTGTACATAGTATACTTTATTAATATGATATTTACAGAGTTTGGTCTTTTAATAACACTGTCTTAGTACATTAAAGAACGTTAAGCGTTTTTCACGAAAGCGTTTTAGAATGTCCATATAATAGCAGTTCAAAAATCCATATTTTTGTAAGCATGAACCAGCAAGGGAGACGTGCGTTTGTCTCGTTGATACAGTAAATATGCAGCAGCTAGCTAGTAAGTTACGGTACATCCGATAAGGTGCGTAGCATTCGTTCAAAACTTACCTTTCTTTGTGCAACTTCAGGTGTCGAACAAAGTTGGACGTTGTGGCAGCTCCGTCTGTAATCTTCGATCCGCATGTTTTGCAGATTGCAACTCGTTTTTTGTCGACTACCTCGTAATTTTTATAGCCAAACCAAACTATCTTCGGTATCATTTTGACAACTGGCGCGTTGTTGCTTGATGTGCTTCATTGGTTGTCTTGCAATGTGCCTGCTTAGATGCTGTCGAATCAAAACAACGTGGGACTACAGTGATTGGATAACGTGCAGGCAG